CGTTCTAGCCAATATAAAGACCAAAAACAGTTTTTTTTTAATTACATCCCTTAAAAATATACTAATTGCGAACAAAAACGTTAAAAATCTTAAATAATTATGGAGACGCATGGCGCTATTTGGAAAACTCCATCATTAGATATCTCTTGACCACTTTCACTTGATCGATCATCATCAACGAACCTGACTGAAATTCACTTTCTAATAGAACTTATGAGTGATTTAAATAAAAAATAATATTATTTACCAAAACTCCATTTTAACGAAGGTAAATTAGAGAAAACCTGATCAAATGATCAGATATCTTTCAGAAAATATTCCTGGAAATCCCTGAAACACTTTCTGATCGGTCATGATCAACGTACCTAATTGAAATTCACTTATAGTAGTCCAATTCCGTGGTCATAATTCATATATAAAAAGTTTAGTATAAGCATTTTAGTGAAAATGAGAGATACGTTAAAAATGAATTACATATTCGTAAAGTACGCATTTGGTACATCCAGTGGCGTCGCGTAACCTCACTTTTTACCTGTTCAACAACATTGAAAACGTTATTTAGGGTCATGTTTACATTCAAATCAGTTTCAAAAGGCATAGGGTCTTCTAGTTTCACTGATTTGTATCCATTGGAACCAATATTGTTTTGTTTGTTTACGTTTTGAGAGTTGTTGAACAGGTAGATCGAGGTTAGGGTGACGCCACTGCGTACATCACATATCCGTAGAAATTGGTCGATCCACGCGGTCATTTCCAAAAACCGTTTTGTTATCATTAGTTACGTTTTCTCGCAGATTATCGCGCAATCCAAGTGGAGCAACAGTACTGATTACGTACCTTCTCCAACCTGTACATCGTTATCAGTTGTTCTGAATTTTGAGGAATCATGTTCGTATCCAAATCCAAAGCTTAAAATGGATTGTAGGAACCCTGTGTAGTACGGCAACATGTGGCGCGCATAATCAATTCTCTTGCGTTGACGTTTACACACTACAGCCATCTGTTGACTTCTTCTTCTTCTTTTTCTTCGCATTTCAAGCTTATTGCATATCGCATGATTAGCTTATTGCGTGCTCTCAACTTAGTGTTCTAGATGCACTTCCACAGTTATTAATTGAGAGCTTTCGATGCCTGTACCATTTTTGCATTGATATGATTGTGTGGCAAGTTCAATCACACATTAAGATTTTTTTACAGTATACCGTAATTTTTTACCGAATATGGAACAGCAGAACATTCGGTAACCTATTCGGTAATTTTGTTTATTTACAATCCGTTCGGTAAATTTTGTTCCCTTGTGAGCTGTCAAAATGTACTGACCAGGACTGTAAATTTTGCTGAATGATCGGTGAGTTTGCAATATAGCGTTCGGTATAATTTTTACCGAATTGACTGTACTTAATGATATGATTTTTTATTGATTAATTAATTATTTATTTCTAACAACAAACCTGAAGATTAATTTGACTCATAAATCATTTATTATTTATAAACATATATTTTCATCGTTCGTCCGTATATAAATTAAGTAAAAACCTGGACGTGGTTAGCGACCCAGTTGCGAACCGTGCACAAATTCGCTTTTTGCGGTTGTGGATGAGGTTTTTATGGGATATTAGGCCATTTAATGTCCATGGCGTCTGAAAGCAATTGGCCCAGAATTAAAAAAGAATTATATAATTAATACTTTCGAAGTAAATTGGACGGATTATAGGGAAAAACTAACGTACTTAGCTGAGTGGTGCGAAGTGAAATTTTCTTCATGTTGGTAGTGTTGAAATAAACGTTTCATCACCGTCGGTTGGTAGAGAGAAGTGTCAAACGGCTTTTTGTGCAGAGCCGATTCGTGACTTTGTGATTGTTTGTTGACATTGTTCATAGCTGGAGTTTTTACGGAGTGGAATAAAATTCAGAATGAAGTGTTTTGCTCACTTTTGCAATTATAAAGATGGACACGACGAAAAACGAAGCCTATTCAGGTTTCCCAAGGATTCAGCAGTACGAAAAGAGTGGCTCAGTTTCTGTCTGCAAAATATACTTTTCATTTCAGGGAAGTCAAGAAAGAATAAAACCCTGACACATCCTCTACCTGACTTGCAATCAAACATAGTAATTTTTATTTGTATAAATTGTTGCAAATCAGATGCAAATTTAATGTGGCCGACGATATCTATGGAAGTGCTGTCGAAATTCCCTGGGACCTCCAATGGCAACGATTTGACTTCCCTCCAAATCGTGTGAAACTCGAACATGAAAACTCTATAGAACCCCCGTAGAACCTCGCTGGCAGCAACTAAAATATCCACTGAAACCTCTTCTGTCGCGGGAAAAATCTGTTGAAATTTCCTGGAACTTTTGTACTATCATCACAAATCTCCTTAGAACGTTCTCCGAAGTCACAGTCGTTCCTGAGCGAAAAAAAATCGGAGGGGTTTTTTTCAGCGCAGGAGTCTACTTTGGTCCAAAATACGCAATAATACTGTTATTTTTAATTGTTTGAGTCGTTTCGAATCACGTTTTAAAAAAGATTGAAAACATTACTGAAAAATATTTATTTGTTATTTTGGACGATAACAATACTTCTATCTATTTCAACGAACCACAATGATAAAAAAGTGGTTCGATTTGACAGCTCGAAAGTGGTTCGATTTTGAGGTCCGTCTTCGCACCACTCAGATACTTACTAGTCACAACGGATAGCCGAAGAACACTCAACTTCAAAATGACAACAAAGGTTGAGCTTTACAGAATGAAGTTTACAAATCTGTTCTGTATTTTTTACAAATATCTGGTACATTACTGCTGTTTGTTTTTTTAAAATATTATGTTTACAGCACATTCGTCACAATGTTTACAGTATTGCGGAATTGCAGCCATTTACAATTTAGATCAGAAATTTTGATTTACAGTTTTCGGTAAATTTCTATAAATTACGGAAATTCAGCAGTTTTCATTGCGGAAAATTGGTAAAACAATACTTTTTACAAAGCTTTCGGTGAAAATTATATTTTACAGGACGATTCCAGCCAAAAAAGTACCGAACAAGATTTAAGAAATTTGGTGTGCATACTTCTATGCCCAGGGAAGTCGAGAAATTTTCTAACCCGAAAAATTCCTAGACCGAACCGGGAATCGAACCCAGCATGGTCTTGCTTTGTAGCTGCGCCTTTACCGACTGAGCTAAGGGAGGCCATCTGTTGATTGTATTGCCAATCACAGTGTATACGGCAGATGGCGGTAGTGTTTTAGCGTTGAAGTTCTACAATGAGAAATGTTCAAAGGGTTGTGTATGTTTGTCTGTGATATAATATTGATGTAACGTTCATTATAAAATCAAAAAATTTAGAAATATAACGCATAACATTCAGAAATACTTCATTTCACAACCGATGAACCATTCTGACTTCATTGAATGTTCTTACTTTGCTAGAATATGGTTAGTTGGGGAATTCGATGAAACCTTCACTTCTTGAAACTAATCTCTTTTGAATTTCTTTCATTCTCATTTCGCACTTTGCGTATAACACCATCTCATACTTATCTCTATGTACATTCAATGATGTACGGAGCGCTCATTCCGAGTGCTCGGTAAACCAGCGTCTTTAGACGCGAGCCTCCTCCCAGATGACCATGGCAAAGCAAGAACATTTTTTTTTCGTTGTAGGATAGTAGATATTTTTGCAGACAGTGACAGATGATGAACATCAGACCGACCACACCAACCAGCGAGGAAGAAGTCAACAAAAGGTAGAATCATGTCAGTACCGACCAAGGACGATTTCAAAGCGAACTCCTTTGCAACAGAGGACTGAAAAACAATGGTTTAAGTGACTTGCCTGAGAGCGTTGTATTTCTCCCACAACATTGCAATCGGGTTTGTGTTTTGTAAGTATTTGTTAAATTCACTCAACTGAATCGAAATATGAATTATTCACGAAAGAATTTTTCCTTATGACGAACATACAAACTTAGAACAGAATAATGCTCTCAAATGTCCAGACCTCTACTTTCAAAATCAATATCAAAATTCTCACCGTGCCCGGCAACTACATATAAGCAATACAATTGGAATTGACGGCACCGAATCCTTTCGGTTTCAACACAATTTAGGTATTTTTTGGTTGTCCCCCTAGTCAGTCGCACAAGGAACACAGTGTACCTATATTTTTCGCCAATCTTTTCACACCCTCTTGAACGCGATTGGCAGGGATTTCCCATCCTTTCTCCGAACGTTTCATCCTAAAATAGCGTCTCAGCCGTCCGGTACAATGCTACCGATTCTTCTCCGTCTGATTCGATTGTGCCATAGAATGTACGGATACCTTGTGAGGAGTGATATCATTGTACCACGTGGTCCTTTTTATTCGGAAAATGCTTTATTTTTTTTGTATTTGCTTCTCTTGCTTTCCGTACAACATCACATCACACCAAACCAAACAACCAAGAGGGCGCTCTATTAAAGCTACACGTCATAGGAGGAGATTTACACTGGAGTCGCTTTTTACGCGGTTTTTTTTTACACGGTTTTTTTTTACGCGGTTTTTTTTACGCGGATTTCGGAATTTACGCGGTTTTTTTTTACGCGGATTCCGGAATTTACGCGGTTTTTTTTTACGCGGATTTTGGTTTTTTTTTACGCGGATTTCTGAATTTACGCGGTATATCGCTTTTTACGCGGTTTTTTCTTACACGGTCTTTTTTTACTCGGTTTTTTTTTACGCGGATTTCGGAATTTACGCGGTTTTTTTTTACGCGGATTCCGGAATTTACGCGGTTTTTTTTTACGCGGTTTTTTTTTACGCGGGACGTATCACCCGCGTAAAAAGCGACTCCAGTGTATTTCGCAAGTGCCGAAGAAGTGGATTAGAGGAAAATGAGATTCATGGGCGTGTTACTTACCTCTTCGGTGCGTGTGTGCGATTCGTTCGGATTGTCACTCGAAAGGCTGTCATCGTAGAAAATGATGGTTTAAAATTCTTCTTTAAAAAATAGCGGCCTGTCTTTTATAAAAAAAAAAAAAACCTCATTCCCTGCTTGCCTCATTCCCAAACCATAAAATGGGTATGCACGTGGTATGCGTAAGTAATAACGAAAAAACACCGAAAACCAACAAAGGACCATTTGCATTTGGAAGAAGCACAAATTAAGCCAAGGTGGCCCGTTTCGCAACAAAATCCCTCGACGGGGGTTCTTTGTTTGTGAATCGAGCATATCTGCGAGGGAAAAAGTAAAGAAAGATACATTTATTATCATACAAGAGGAGTATTTGGAAAAAGACTTACGTGTCCTTGTACTTTTGCACATCCTGTGGGCTGAGCGATGGGCGGGTGCTGGCAAAGGCCTCCAGTAGCTGTCGCTGGCTAATCGTTATCTTGTCCGGAACATGCTGCGTGAAACGAGAGGCAACGAGAAACAAGCGTTATTAGGTGCATATCGGCGTTGTCGTCATAATCGACCATCAAAAAAAACAGCTTTGTGTCGCGGATTCTGGGTGAGGTGGTTATCAAATGGAAAAAGCTAATAGAAGCGATTGCACGATGAGCGGTTCAATGTGTGTCGACTAATCATGTTCGTTCACGTTATCATCACCATAATCATTACCACTGTCGATACAGAACAGTGAAGATTCGAATAAGCCAGTGCAAGTACGAACAAGGCAATCCAACTTTCGCTGCTTATCACATATTTAGGAAGGTTGAGTCGTAGCTTTGTTGTAGGACAGTGGTATATTTCGGTGGAATATGTTTTCAGGAATTATTCAGCAACATAGGAACGTTTAACTTGGTTTGAAACTTTACTTATATAAATTTATGATTGAAAAATGCTTGATTGGTTTTCTTTGATAAAGAGACTTCCAGCTGACGAAGAATTGAAACTGTTTTAACTTTTTTTTTATTTGAACGGATTTTAGTAAACCTAAAGCATATAATCATTGTGATTTGAGAAACAGTAGTTAAACAAGTATAACGGATACAGATACACCAAAAAGAGAAGTTTTACTAAAAATGTTAAATCATCATACAGCATTTCCAGCCCAAAACGCAAACCGGTCGGACATGAGTGTTTCAGATTTGAATGAATTACTATTCACATGTTCGTTGCTACCAATGAATAAATTTTCATCTAAATATGATTTTTTTCTTCTTTCACAATAACTTTTGAAAAGGGCGTGGATTATATTTTTTTTTCGAAAAATCACAACATGAAAACTATTAATCTGATCAAAATGACATCTGAAAAGAAGTCGTAGGTAGTTAAATTATCTTTGGGGAAAAATACACTGACAGAAAAAAAACTTTAAAAATCTATATTAAAAAGTAATGAAGTAATGAAATTGGGTTGTTGGCTGAACGCTTAAGTAAAACAGCAAAAAAGGTTATCTTCCATTTAATTCCAATTAAAAAAACAAACGGAAGGTTGCCGTAGGACCGCGATTGGTCGTTACAATTATTTTTGCGCGTAGCTCTTTTAGTTGATTGAAATCTATAAACTTAAAATTCTTTAAATATCGCAAATGGTGGCCGGTTGTGTGAAAAAGGGCTGCATCCATATACGAAATGGAATGGATACCAACAGTACGAACAAAACCGTTAAGGTAGGCTACCGTGTACATGGCGGCAATTAATGATTATTAGAACCTGTAATTTCAAGCTTGCCATCATATTATAATTGATCTTTAAAAAACTAGAATGCATCTCGACGTCCCTGGAATCTGGAACCTTCCCAAAAATTTGGAAAAGCTCATTCTTAGTGCCTATCTTTAAATCTGGCCGAAAATCTGACGTACGTAATTATCGTGGTATAGCCATTATCTCTTGCATTCCTAAACTTTTCGAGGCAATTGTCAACGAAAAATTATTCCTCCAAATTAAAAATAGAATTACTGACATGCTTTTTCATGGGTCGCTCGATCTCGACAAATTTACTTGAATTTATAGACTATTCATTGAATGCAATGGATAATGGAAACCACGTAGAAGCTCTCTATACAGACTTTAGCTAGACATTTGACCGCATAGACATACCAATGCTACTTTTTTAATTGCAAAAAACTGGAATTGAGTCGGGGCTCCTAAAATGGCTTGAATCATATTTAACTAACCGCCAACAAATAATTAAAAACAACGGAAAAAAAATCGAGTCCAATTCAAGTAACTTCAGGCGTCCCCCAAGGCTCTCATTTGGGACCTCTTCTTTTTATTCTATACGTAAACGACATTTCTTTCATTCTCAAAAAATTAAATTGCTTATTTATGCCGGAGACATGAAGCTCTTTTTGGAAATAAGAAAAGAAGAAGACATCAATATATTCCGGAATGAAATACACATATTCTACATATGGTGCAAAAAAAGTCTACTCGAATTGAATGTAAAAAATGCAACTTAATATCATTTAGCAGGAAAAGAACAACTTCAAATATTTCAATTGCACTAAGAAATCAAAATGTAGAAAAATGTGAAAGAGTTAGGGATTCAGGAATTATCTTAGACTCTAAACTAACTTTCATAGACCATTACAACACAATTATTCACAGGGCAAACAACATGCTAGGCTTTATCAAGCGCTTTGGCTATAATTTTCAGGACCCACACACAATTAAAACACTATGTATTGCCCTCGGTTTGTATCGTTTAGATTAAGTGTCTATTGTTAGTTTAAGGCAATAAATGTAGTTTGTGTAGTTAGTGTTTTAATCAAGCCACGAGTGTAGTGATTTTACGGAAGAGTTCCCCACTAAAAACCTATGGATTACTACCATCAACCCATTCGAAGAGACCAAGTTTTGAGGATCTACCCAGTCGAAGTTGCCAATTATCCTGAATATCATTGGATTTTTTTTTAATTTTATATTGCGCTGTGTTCGTTTTTAATTGCTCATTTTTACTTTCCAGCATGAATTATTTTCTTTACTTTAAGAACGGTTCATATTTTACGATGGCTCATCCTCATGTTCAAGCATACATTTATGTATCTCGATTTAAACAGTGATAACTGTGCGCTTTGTATGGGACATTTTAGATTTATTTATCGCGGTTATTCAATATGACATTGCTCATTTTGCCACTTTTATGGGAAAATATGTTCAACTGCAGGTCACGTAGGTGAGTTATTTAGTTTGCTAAACACTTAGCATCTGTCTTCGATAAACATATGACAAGTGACGTTGAAGCTGAATCTGCTGCCTCCGATACGCCTAGTGACTTAGTGGAACTGAGCACATTCGAAGTAACTTGAATTGGCGGCAGTAATTTTTTTTATCAAAATCGACTTCCAAGCAGATTATTATTAAGAATCTGAAGGATTGAAGAGGAATTTTTCAAATCGATATCACCACTTTAGGTCGCTTTAGAAAGTGCTCCTCCATAAAGCCCAGTATTTTTCTATTGTCGGGATTTTTCACGACGGCGCATACGATTTTTTGGCGGATCTGCTCTTGCTCCAAAGCCGTCTCGATAACCACTTGATAGTGAAGTTAATCTACCAGCGTAAATATTACACTCTTAACTAGTTTCAGTCAAATTTTCATCAATTTTACACGCCTAAAAGTAACAAACTAATCAATGTATCTCACTTTTTTCGAGTACAGTCAAAACAAAACAAAATGGCTTATATAAGAATTTCTATCAATGAAGTGACCATATACTAAAGATTTTTTTTTTAACTAGTTCGTTTACTTGGGAGGCTCAATCGCGTTAGCTTTACGGAGCCGATAGTTCATTGTTCTTTGTTTGTAACAAAATTCACTTAATTCTATGTCTAGTAGGAGTTGGGCCGAATACTCGCGGCTTACTCGAGGTTAGAGAGGTACATTGTCGAAGGATAGGATCAGGGGAGGAGTTTGGGGGTAAGGTTTCGTTGTCTCATCAGAGCGTTGTCGCCAGTATGAATGGTAGTGCGGTTCTAGCTTCGTCTGGAGTTCGACCGGCTATGGTGACCAGTGGGCGACGATGAGACTCATCGAAACGGGGGGACAAGACAAACAAAAACTATTAAAGAGAGACAAAAGACAAAGGAATTAAATTCTTATACTAGACATTTGAAGAAACACATAAACCGACTGCATATAGCAGATATCGCGAGTTCCCAACACGTCTCTGATAGGAACATAGGGTTGTCTTCCTTGGGCCTCAAGGGTATTCAAAAGTCGCTCTCTGGCGGCGTCATTATCCGTACATTGCCAAACTGCGTGATCGATGTCATCGTAACCGTTTCCACACCGACAGATGTTGCTGTCTACGAGGTTTATTCTATTGAGATGAGCATCTAGCGAGTAGTGGTTGGACATAAGTCTACTCATCACGCGAATGAAGTCACGACTTAAGTCCAAGCCTTTAAACCACGCTCTCGAAGAAACATTAGGAATAATTGAATGTAACCACCGTCCAAGATTTCCATTGTCCCAATCGGTTTGCCAACTCGAAAGGGTACTCTGACGCACTAAATGGTAAAATTCATCGTGTGAAATTTGCCTGTCATAAAATTCGCCTTCCTGCGCGCCCACCTTTGCGAGAGAGTCCGCCTTCTCATTGCCTGGGATTGAGCAATGTGAGGGGACCCATACAAAGGTAATCATATATAATCTTTCGACCAGCACACACATCTGCTCCCTTACCTTTGAAAGGAAATAAGATGAGTGCCTACCTTGTTTCATCGACCGAATAGCCTCAATCGAACTGAGACTATCCGAGAAGATGAAGTAATGGTCTGTGGGAATATTGAAAATCATCCCCAATGCGAAGTTGATTGCTGCCAGCTCAGCAACAAAAACGGAACAAGGTTCCTGGAGTTTGCGGAAGGCGCTAGAGTTTTCATTGAAGACACCGAAGCCAGTGGATCCACTGAGACGAGACCCGTCTGTAAAATATCTGTTTACGCAATTGACGTGTTGGTACTTTTCAGTAAAAATACGCGGGATAATAATAGTTCGAAGTTGATCTGGAATCCCATGAGTTGCTTGTTTCATGGTCAGATCATATTCAATTGAGGAGCTGCGATTGGTGAAGTGAGCACGGTCTGGAGTGTAACAAGGAAGACACATATCTGACGATATGTAGTGGTGGTAGATTCTCATAAATCGAGATTGTGTGTTCAGCCCAAGAATTTCTTCAAAATTAGCAATTATAAGTGTGTTCGAAACTCCGCATTTGATTAGTATTCTGAGAGAGAGCTCCCAGAAACGGTTCTGGAGGGGTGTTACTCCTGCCAGAACCTCGAGACTCATGTTATGCGTTGAGTGCATACAGCCTAGAGCAATACGCAGACAACGATATTGAATTCGTTCCAATTTTATTAGGTGACTTTTTCTTGCCGAGAGAAAGCAGAAAGAGCCGTACTCTAGAACAGAGAGAATAGTTGTTTTATAAAGCGTTATGAGGTCTCCCGGA